TATATATATATATATATATATATATATATATATATATATATATATATATATATGAGAGAGGATAAGGAACAACGAGTAAACAATTAGAAATTTAACACGTTTCGGTTTTATCTAAGTTTCATCAGAAATTAAATATGTAAGAGAAAACAAAACTCTGATATTTTTTTTTCATTGATTAGCAGGCCTTATGTGTATATGTCCTATCAAACAGCGTTTATGTTTATAATTCATGTGTGTATATGTATCATAATTCTAGTTAACTTATGCGGGATTCAGTTGATAATTTTATTCGTTTCTGTGTGTATGTGTGTCTAACAATTAATTATTCTGGTTGCCCGTATGTTGAATTTCGTATGATTTGAGCAAAGAGGATAATTTAAGTTCACCTGTTGTGATTATAGAAAGACTTATGTTAGTTTCTTTAAGTATGGATTATATAAAAGAGGATTATATAGTAAAGCAAGAGATCTGGGTATGTATAAGTCCGCATTTACGAACATAAGACATACCTTCGTTGGGAAAACCCTTTAAACTAGCTGGTAACCCACAAAAACAAAACAGCTCATAATTTCGTTTTTATAAATGCAATTCTGATTAGATACGAACATAATTTATAACGTAGGAAGTTCTCATAAATACTTCGCCATATATGGACGCACATCAGGGACACTATATATGTCTGCTTAACCGCAGAAAGACCAACGAACAGAAAAATAAGATTACCATAATTTTCTTTTTTTCACTATATTTCATTTCTTGATGAAACTAGATTGTACGAAAACGGTTTTTCTACGTGATATGGCCGTAATCCGTATATATACAGTCCACTCCAAAAGTTATGAAACGTCAAAACCAATTCCTTTTTTTGTTGTTCACTGAAGACATTTTAGATTAAGATCAAAAGTTGAATATAAGACAAGGCTTCAAAATTTCAGCTTTTATTTCCTGGTATTTACACTTAGATCTATTAAAATACTTAAGACATACAATCTTTGGTTTGAAACTAAACATTTTCTAAGTGAGCAAAACTAATGGAACATGTAAATGACACTTGTTTCTTGTTGGCTAGCAGTTGCCTTTTAGATTAACAGTTTAAACATTATATAGATGTGAATAACTACTCTTTGTTTTAGCCTTGAGTCTGACCTGTAAAGATTGCATTTCTTGTTAAAATGGATAAAACAAGAGGAATAATTGTCATATCTGGGAGGAAACAACCCAAAAGTAGTGACGTCATCCTCAATATTGTAGGTTTCGCTGTCCACCGTTCGAAGAATACTTCGAGAGCAGAAATATAGAGGACATTCTACAAGATGCAACCCATTCATCAGCAGAAAAAAAATCAGAAAGCCAGATTGGAATATGTAAGGAATTACAGAGATGAGTGGCAAAAGTTCTGGAAGAAAGTTTTATGGACTGATGAGACCAAGATTAAAATCTGCCAAAGTGTTGGAAAGGCCGAAGTTTAGAAAAAGAAAGTCACTTCACTGCACAACAATAGCATCACAAATAAAGAATGCAGCAGTTTGGTGAAGTCAATGTGCCACAGGATTGATGTATTTATTGTAATCAAGGGTTATGCAAACAAACATTAAATGTTATTTACTTTAAACTATCTGTTCCTTTAAATTTGCTCACCTAAAAATAGTGATCTGATACAAAAGGTGGTATGTCGTAGACTGTTTAACACATCCAAATGTAAATACCAGGAAATAAAAGTTGAAATTATAAACTCGTGTCTCATTCATATTCTGATTTTAAAATGAAATGTTTTCAATAAACAACAAAAACAAAGGAAGCTGGCCTCTTGTCATTCCAATATTTTTGGAGGGGACTTGTATATATATATATATATATATATATATATATATATATATATATATATATATAAAATCCCCTAACTAGTAACTAGCTATTAGAGTGCCATGAATTTCCGTTCAAAGACGGATCAAAATTAAAAATGATTGTTCGTGCGACACAGAGAATTAAAATACATAATTACATGCAAATGTTGCCACGAGCATTACATTGGCCAAACAGGCCAGTCATTCCGGCAAAGGGTGACAGTTAATCGCCAACAAATTAGGGACGACCGCACCAGAAAAATAACCCTTAGCCAACATATAGAAGAATGCGGAGGACAAAATCAGCCAAATTTTAGTGTCTTCTCATTCTACCAATGAGACTACAGAACCACTGAACAAAGACGGATTAATAAGGAATTATTTTTCATAAATAAGTTCAAATCCATATTTAATTAATTGCATAAATAGATTCTATCAAATTCCTCTTACCATAAACAACATATATAGCCAGTTACTCCACTTGATTTTCATTTTTTCATTGGTACAAAACGTAAGCATCAACATGTGGAGAGAGAAACAGTTAAAAACTTTTTGAAAAGCGAAGCGTAACCGGTTCATGTAAAAAGTTAAAAGAGGAAAACAAAAAAAAAATATTTTTCTAAAAAACAAAAACAAAAAAAAAAAAAACACTGAAAATCTAATCGTAAGTAACAAAGTTTTAATTCTTCTCTGTACGAATTCATATATTATAAATATCACTATATTAAATATTAGGTGCCTTTTTTTTCCAATCTTCATTTTAGTCTATGCAATAAGTTTTTGTACAGAATCTTTCTAACAATGTTTTTTTGCATATATATATATATATATATATATATATATATATATTACCTATATATATGTATGTTATATATATATATATATATATATTACCTATATATATGTATATTATATATATATATTACCTATATATGTATATTATATTTATATATATTACCTATATATATGTATATTATATATATATATATACCTATATATATATATATATATATGTGTGGTATGTATATATATATATATATATATATATATATATATATATATATATATATATATATATATATATACCTATATATATTATATATATATGTGTGTATATATATATATATATATATATATATATATATTGCCTATATATATATGTGTGTATGTATATATACATATATATATATATATATATTTACCTATATATATTACCTATATATATATGTGTATATATATATATATATATATATATTACCTATATATATATGTGTGTATGTATATATATATATATATATATATATATATATATATATATATATATGTATATATATATATATATATATATATGTATATATATATATATATATATATATATATATATATATATATATATGTATGTACATATTTATATATATATATATATATATATATATATATATATATATATATATGTATAATGTATGTATATATATATATAAAACATATATATGTCTGGAATTGTTATAGTTTCTCTGGCGCTTACTGTAGCCTGTCTGCTATGCGTAGCCCTCTTCATCCGCTGCTTTCATCACTGAGATATGTTCCCCCAAAACTAGTAGCTTCTAGTCATCAACGTGAACATCATAAACTAAGCGATCAGCAAAGAAGAAATTAAATTCTTGGATTTATGATAAAGCTGAGTATATAATTCCGTCGTGTTAGACCAGAATGTTCGTTTCTTTATAGATTTTATTAATTTTTTTTTCTGATTAATATTCCTTTCTTCTTTCATTTCAAGTCCCTATTTATTTTTCTTGATGATTATGACAACATTATTCTACGGTGAGGACCGAATATAAAGAGTAAGTTTCTTGATGCTTCTAGGATAAAAGAAAAGCATAACATGCGAAATACAAATCGGTAATGGCAGAATTACACTAGAACAAACATTTGAATATTTAAGAAGTGTTTTAAAAAAAGTCGATAATTGTGACACTGCATTAGAATAGCAAAAGATGCATTCAAAAAGCTAAGCAAAATATTAAGAAGCAGAGAAAAATTACTTAACTCTTATGTCATCTCGGCCCTTTTATATGGCAGTCAATGTTGGAGGATCCACTCACAGATCACGAATAGTATTCAGGCAGCAGAAATATGGTTCAATAGAATAACGCTGAGAATGCCATGGAGTGAACATGTGACCAATAATGAAGTTTTAGAAAAGTGGAAACAAAAAATACACTTATATACTAGAATCAGAAAAAAATATAATTGTATCAGAAAAAAGACAAATGAAATTCTTAGGTGATCTAATAAAGAAAGAAAACTTAGAAAATTAAAAAATCAAGAAAAAAAAGCGGTACAAAAATGTCTGTGTAACGAGTTAGTGTAAATGGTTTGCAGAACAGGGATTCTTTTTCTTTTTTTATACGCTATGTCCTTTCAGGACGTAGGCGATCATGACTCTCCACCTCCCTCTATCCCTTGGAGCTCTCAGCAAATTTCTTCCCTCTCCTTCCTCCCACGGCCACGTTCTGTCATCCACCAGTTCAAGCTCGTCAGGTACGTCACGCGCTGCTTTCCCTTGTCTCTCTTTCCCTCTATTCGACCCGTGAGTATCAGATTCTCCAGGCCCTCCTTCCTCATTATGTGTCCCAGAAACTTCAGCTGCCTCTTTCTGATGTTAAATATGTCACCTGCTTGTTTGTAACCTCTCTAAGACCTCATCGTCGTTCCTATGCTCGGTCCATGATATCCTTAGCATCCTTCTGTAGAACCACATCTCCGTCGCCTCGTGTCTCTTCTTCATGTTTGAGGTAATCATCCAACATTCGCTGCCGTAAAGAAGAACAGATGTCACGTAACAGCTCAGTAGAGAAAATACAAAATTTAATAAGGAACTTCAAGAGACAGGAAATGTTGGAGGGCCAGGAAAATGAAATTCTGAAGGAACGCGGCTCATGGAATGAGAAGAAGAACCAAAAAGGAAGCTATCAGGTTAATATATCAGTGGTACTGATTATGCATCAGAATACTCAGCTTTCGTCAAATGAAAAATTTGTTAATATTGGATTGTGTGATAATGCGAGAAAACATCATTTCGTTCGTTCATTATGTGTGTTAGGATATTTGAGGATATTTCTAAAAGTTATTTCGTATAATCACCAGAAAGTGTCATCTGAGTTTGTGAATTGATGGGATGAGGAATAATACAGATGTTGGTGTTGTTAAAGGAAATAATTCATTGTAATGATGACGTGAAAGAGGGGGAAACTGATTGATAAGATATTGATAGTAATGATAAAGAAAAAGCAAAAGAGGAGAAGGCCTAGTAGTAGTAGTAGTAGTAGAAGAAGAAGAAGAAAAAAGAAGACAATGTATCAAAGGAAGATTAAGACAACAAAGAAAATAAAGAAGAAATGAAAAAATTGATGATGGTGATGAAGAATAAAAAAAGAAGATAAAAGAAAATGAGAAAAAAAGAAGAGAAAAGTGAAAAAAGTAGAAGAAAAAAGGAAACAAAATAAAAGATGTTGTTGAAGATAGGGAAGAAAAAGTAAAAGAAAAGAAAAAATAAAAAGGTGATAATGAAGATAAAGTTAAAAAATATAAGAAAATAGATGAAAAAGAAGAAAGAAAGAAAAAATGACGAGGAAGATAAAGGAGAAGCAGAAGAAAAGATGGAAAAAAAGAAAAAATGATAATGAAGAAGAAAAAAAAAAGATGAAGAAAACGAAGAAAATATAAAACCGAAGAAAGAAAAGCAATAAACAGGGAGAACAGCGAAGAAAAAAAAAAATAATGGTGGACGAAAAAACGAAACAAAATCATAGATGATGAAGATAGTGAAGAAAAAAAAAAAAAAACAAACGAACGGAAAAGAAGAAAAATATGGTCATGGTAATAAAGAAAACAAAATTATATGAAAAACCAAAAAAGAATAATAAAAAAAGCAGAAGAAAAGATGAGAAAAAAACAAGAAAAAATATGATCATGAATAGAAAAAGAAAGAGTAGAAGAAAAGAAAAGAACGAAAAAAAAAAAAAAATATGGTCATGGTGATAAAGAAAAAAAATATATGTAAAAAGATGAAAAGAAGAATAATGAATCAGAAGAGAAAGATGAAGAAAAGAAGAAAAATATGATTACGAAGATAAAGAAGAAAAAAAGTAGAAGAAAAAGAAAAAGAACGAAAAATAAGAAAAAAATCATAATGAAGATAAAGAAGAAAGCCTCGAAAGAATCACCAAAGATTACAAAACACGTTTACGTACGGGTAAAACCGGATATTTAAAGGTCAAATTACGTAGGGCTCAGAGGATTTGCTGGGAAAAAGTAAAAATGGTCGATGATGAGAACAGAATTTTAATCAAGATTCTCTGCAAATACATGTTTCTCTTTTATTTTGATTTTCTTCATGTTCTCACCTGCTCGTTGGGGTCTCTGGCAAATGTAGATCTCCGAAATAGCGAATTCAATCTCCCCTGTGACATGCATGATTTTCTCATTAGCAAACCATTTACGCACTCGTTTGTATCCGAGGTAATTATCTCAGAATGGTAAAAGCTAGTTTAAGCAAAGTAGAAAAAAAAAACATGCAATTCCTAGCAACGAGAAAACTAAACACGAAAATTAATAGGCATGAATTTGTGAAGCTTATTTTAGGGAAGTAATTCCCTGCTGTTTTAAAGGAAAAGAAACGTCATTAATTATCTAACATTGAGAGAATGTCATATAATAGTTCTACCCTATCTCAGCTGTTTAATGTATGATTATCAGCAAAATGAACAGTTCAAAATGCGCATTACAATTTGGAGAAGCCAAATGACAAACATTTAAATAACCAGGAAATATTATAACAAAGGAGGACAAAAGAAGCACCGAAATCCAAAGGCTCCTTACGATAGCAAAAATTGAAAAAGCTAACCAAGGTATTAAGAAACCTTTTTATAAGATTTAAAATATAAGTTGATATATTAAAAAAAAACAACTCCTTCCAAGAGACCTCTCTTCATCAAAGAGTATTTCTATAAAATGAAGGCAGTTTGTTTATTATAGAAATCTTTATATATATATATATATATATATATATATATATATATATATATATATATATATATATATATTTATTTATTAAAACAGCAATCCTTCCTTTATGCATTTTTCATTAAAACGACAGACAAAGGTACTACGGTTGAGCTTTTATTTAATTTTTCTTGTGTTCTGACAAGAGCTTTCTTTTCTGGACAAAAAATGTAAACTGTCCGAATGTTCTGTATTTCCGAGCGCTTTCAGCTATATTGGCAAGCCATTATCAAGGATGATTCAATATCCAATAGTTAGTAAAGTGTGTGTTCTGTGTTCTGTGTATGTTCAGTGATACTGTTAGGAAGTACTAGATGTTTTTTAGTTTCCACTTGATAAAAAGACTTAATTTATGAAGCTGTTTTTCAAAAAAAAAGCCAATATTGTATTATGAACAAAAAATGTTCTTTTTTCATCACTTTAATATATTAGAACACAATAATAATCTACTAAGCTGATTTTGAATCATTTGATAATGGCTAAAGATATAGCCGAAAGCGCTCGGAAATACAGAACATTCGGACAGTTCTTACAAAACTCTTTGTCCAGAAAAGAAAGCTCTTGTCAGAACACAAGAAAAATTAAATAAAAAGCTGTTCGTAGTGATTTGTCTGTCGTTTTTAATGAAATGCATATATATATATATATATATATATATATATATATATATATATATATATGTGTGTGTGTGTGTGTGTGAAAATTTCAGAGTTAACCTGTAGAAAAAATAATATTTATATGACAATAACTAAGTTTTCCTATTGTCATTTATATATATATATATATATATATATATATATATATATATATATATATATGTGTGTGTGTGTGTGTGTATGTGTGTGTGTGTAAATATTCTCAGTTGGAGTACATTTGTAGAAGAGACAAAATGAATAAAAAGAAACAAAAAAAAAGCTTTATTTAGTCTTAGCCGACGCGTTTCGTCATCTGCCGGACATTATCATGGCAAAAGGAATGATTTCATTTTGCAACAGATATCTGGAGTTTCCAGGAGAATATACATCCAGGGAGAGCTCTGTCAAAAGACAGAACAAAATTATTATGTGATTATAAATGATGTTGATATTCTTTAATTATATATATATATATATATATATATATATATAAAACATTTCTTCTCCTGATGATATCCATGTTGGCCGAAACTCGTCAAGGAATCTAAATAATAATAAAAACGAAAGAATATTACTCTACAACCCAGTGTGTCTGAAGATTTTAATTATTTAATATTTTTTTATCGTTCAATATATATATATATGTGTGTGTGTGTGTGTGTGTGTGTGTGTATGTATCTGTGTGTGTGTGTGCCACAAATATTCATTAAAACAAGTTTGATTAAAAAGAACCGATTGAATTTTATTACATTTTTCCAGTTTTGAATAAAGTACTGAGTATTGTGCTCGAAGTAGAGGATTAACTGTTCGAAGTTCATATTCCGTTATTGTTAATTTCAAGTATTTTCGATCATTACGGTCATTATCAAGAACCAATTAATGTCTGTGTGGTAGTTAGAAGTCCCTTGTCTACTTCCTGGTATTTTTGGGGAAGTTGAAAGTTTGAAATAGTCTAAAATAGCGTCATGTTTAACAGTTATTTGGAATAGGGTTGCACAAAAAATAAATAATATAGAATAAAAAAATAAATAAATGCGATTTATTTATTTTATATTGGTTTAATTTATTCATTAATTCATTTATTTTTTCTAACATAATCCATGTGTACATAAATGATATCATATACCCTTCAAGATACCGTCTACCGTCGTGAATGACATTTTATTTAATGTAGGTTGCTTATTTAGTATAATAATAGATTCTAGAATTTTGAGTCTTTCTTTGCATGGGATGTTGTGGAGTATTCTGATATTAGCCTAATTGCAGAGAGGATCCCCCGACGAGGCTATATTAAAGGGCAGAGTCTCGTCTTGGGAAAAAGCTACTTGACCCCGTTTTATACGGGATTTATGGGGAATTTTTGGCAGAGCCTACGGGTTCGGGTACACCACATTAAATTCGGCCTTGTGACACCTCTGACCGCGCGGGGCGGTTGGTAGATATCCTGCAGTTCATTCATTGTGGAATTCACGTGACTCACTTCTAGCAATTGACTACTACTTCTACGCGCCGCTAGTGAATCTTATATGTGCTGTTCTTTTCCTAAGTATTATCGTTCATTTTCAACCTTCGTTTGATTATTCTGTTCAGTAACCTTCCCTAGATTACAACAATCCACTAATATTTTTATGTTAATAACTATATTATAGTCGAATATGATTTGCTGGTCGGTGTGTGCACGGATTGCATTGAGATTTGTCAGACGACAGGTCAGTCTGCGAGAGAGTGTGGTGTATCGGTGTCCGATGTATATTTATTTAATGCTTTTTTATTAATAATATTGGAGATGCAGTCTCCCATGGGGACATTCTAATTCACAAACAACATTATATTGTATATAGGAGGATTTTTGAGGTCCAGTGTTTTTGGTAGTAATTAAAGTAGATGTTTTACACTTTTTATAGTAGACGTTACATGTTAGGTGTTTGCTAGGATCGTTGAATATGCATCGATTGAATATGTTTTGAATTGCTTTCCCATCCTGTTTATAATTAGGGTGCATCTGGTTAAGATAGAATAAGTGAAGGATGTGTTTATTTTTGTTAGCATCAGGGAGCAATCACTTCAGTCATTTTTCTAAATTTCGTTGATGCTAATTTTATTTGGTCGTCGAGGACGGAGTTAGGGAAGTCATTGTTGGTTAGTATTTGTTTAATGTTGCTTTGTTTCTTATAGAATAATATGTCTGAAGGAACTCCAACAGTTTCTTTTCTCGCACTTCCCGCCGATGGAACTCCCTTACGTTTAATTGCTTCCCTGATGACTACAATCTTCAAATATTTAAACGTCACTCCACATCTTATAAATCCTGTTCAGCTTTTGTCCTTTCCTCAAACCAACCTATACTCAGTATTTTCATTCCCTGTAGATTCCAGCGTGCTAGTGGCATTCTCGCCGTGCTTGGGGTGAAACGATTAAAAAAAAAACGGAAAATAAAAAGAGACATTGCTTTGGCGCGGTAAATCAGGATTTTTTTTTTATAACATGTTTTGTATTTAACTACCACTCAGACACTACATTGTTTCTTGGTATTTACTGAGAAGATCGGGGAAAAAAAACAGTGACAAAATAGGAACTTCAGATATTTTAACCAAAAACTTGTGGGGTGTGTGGAGGGTTCGTTGTTTGGATGAATACTTACTGACTGGATATACCTCATATATATATATATATATATATATATATATATATATATATATATATATGTGTGTGTGTGTGTGTGTGTGTGGGGGGAGTGAGTAGAGGGTCGTTGTTTGGATGAATACTAACTGACTGAATATACCTAATATATATATATATATATATGTGTGTGTGTGTGTGTGTGTGTGTGTGTGTGTGTGTGTGTGTGTGTTTGTGTTGTGTGGAGGGATCGTTGTTTGGATGAATACTTACTGAGTGAATATACCTTTTATATATATATATATATATATATATATATATATATGTGTGTGTGTGTGTGTGTGTGTGTGTGTGTGAGTGTTGTGTAGAATTCTAAAGATCGATATTTCTTTTAACTGATGAAGATATAGATAAAAAGTTGAAAGAACAATGGGAGCAAACGAACTGAAAAATAGAACAAACAAAATAAATTGCCAATGAACATGCAGGTTA